GGCAAGTTTCACTAGCACAATTAGATTGCTTGAGTTCTAAAATTGCTTAGAGGATTGTTTGTCCTGAGATACTTCTTAAGGCCAAGAACAATGTTTATTGTGTCCTCTCATACACACTTGGAGCTGTGGAAGGTTACTAATACTTGAAGGTATTTGACCTTTCTCTAGGCCATATGGCACTCTTCATCTACTCTGCTGATCCACATTTAGAAATGTCCTGACCTTCCCATTTTTTTGAGACTAATGTTTGGCAGCAGGTTGTCTATACTCACTTCCCTGGGTCTACAAACAAAGTTATTGGATCTAACTCCATCTAGTTCATGCATACTTTTGCTTTTGTTTTCCATATTTTTCTGAGTACACATTTGGAATAAATGTTAAAACTAGATTTAAAAAGTAAATTCATTCTGCTAACATTCAGTAAGTTTCTTCTACGTGCAAAGCAACTTATATAATGGAAAACAAAAATGTTGGTTATCCAGTGAATCAAGACAATGAAAAAAATCTTGTATAGAAAAGCAGTAATTGGCCTGGAGCAGTGGCTCCCACCTGTAATCCCAGCACTTTGGGAGGCCAAGATGGGTGGATCACCTGAAGTCAGGAGTTCAAGACCAGGCTGGCCAACATGACGAAACCCTGTTTCTGCTGAAAATACAAAAAATTACTCAGGCATTACCATGCCTTTAATCCCAGCTATTTGGGAGGCCGAGGAAGAAAAGTATTGAACCCAGGAGGCAGAGGTTGCAGTAAGCAGAGATCATGCAATTGCCTGGGCAAAAAAATCAAAACTCAAAAAAAAAAAAAAGGGGGAAAGGAAAAGGAAAAGAGGGAGGGAGGAAGGAGAGAGGAAGGAAGGAAGCAAGCAAGCAAGTAGGGAGGAAATGAGGCAGGGAGGGCAGACTCTAATTATTTGCACCCCTAACATGGGTTGTTAAAAAATGGTTGCCTAAGGATGGAAGAGGCTCAGAGAACTTGTATAAGCTATTTAACTTGAAATTCTGTTTCCATCACTTATTAGTTGTATGGCCTTGAAAAAAGTTACTGAATTAATATCTCTCATCCCCTGCTTCACTGCCTTAAATCTACAGTGTTATCTCCAGATTTATTCATAATTTTATTTATGAATCTAGCTCATAGGTTTACTGTAAGAATTGATTACAATAATTCAAAAAAAGCACTTAGCCTACATTATTAGTATTGGTGCTATTTTTATTTGACCAAAAACAAAGCAGATCCCATTTTTCTGAACTAATAATGAACATAGACCAACCATATAACCTCACTGTTTTTAGCTGTCTCTTCAGTCTGATGGGCTAAGGATATTTATCAATTCTCTGTCTCTCAATTTATGTTTCTCACCCTTATAATAACATTGGGATTTTGAAAAATCTGACATGTATCTTAAATGAAAAGCACTGTTTGCATAGTTTCCCCAGGAAGGAAATCCAGCAAATTAACTAAATTCATGTCACTGAGTAGCCTAGGCCATGTGCTTGTCAAACCATCCCTGGTGACTTAAGAGACAGAGGGGCAAGATCATTACTTAGCTGAACTTGGAACGTGTTTTTCATTGACCTGCTCATTACATTTGATTAGCAAACAAGCACTATGTTTCCTCATTATTAACGGTCGACTAAGAAAATGTGGTACCTGTGAAAGCTTTCTTTTATTATATATTCTTAACTTCATGTAGAGACTGATGAGAAGGAAAGCAGGCAATAATACACAGTAATAGTCTACCCAGGCTATGAACTTTAACACATACGAGTTCTCATTTAGTTTTCATTAAATTTGAATTAAGTCAAGACTTTGTATTTACAGAAACCACATTTCAGATTATCCAAAATATTCTTGATTTCAAATATTTTGACCCATTATCCCTTTGAGGTTATTCATATTTTTCAGACACCAGAACTGATTTTTGATTCATAAAATATGAGAACTCTATTTCCAGACACCCTAATACATATAGAGAAAAAGCCTGTTCTGTTTCATCTATACCCTTGAACACCAGTAATTTTCATTCACTGCTGTTCCAGTTGATGTCAAACAAACCCCACAAAGACTGAAGTTTTAAAGTCTGATCAAGCATGGATATAGCAATGGAGAGGAGAACTTTGTTGCTGTGACCTTTGAAATAGATTAAATGTATTTTCCAAAAGCTTTCTAAAGTATCTAGTGGAGAGAAAATAAAAAAGATGCAAGCTCTAAGCAAGGGCTTCTATGAAATGCCCATTTTTTCGGTTCTTTTCTTATGAACTGACTGGGGGTGAGAAGGTGACTCTTTGAATGTGTATCCGGGTTTCAAAGCCTCTATCTTCTCTGGACTCAAGGCCACTGATAACACCAAAGGAGCCAATCGGATGTAGCACTTATTAGAGTTGTTAACCTCCGGCTGAGTCATCAGAGAGCTGTTTCTTTAAGCCACCTAAAAAGATAGCTGGTCATTTTCTGAGACGGTGGGGAACCTGGCCAAAACCCTGGCCGTAACTGCATTCTGAGTGCACTGACTCCAAAGGCCGTGGTTCATCAAACACTAAACCAATGAAAACCATTACTTACAGCTGAGAGGATGTATTTGCTCTTAAAGGACAGAGAGTTGCTGTCATTTGAACAGACATAGTATGCGAAGTTACACACTATTTGGATATAGAAGGGCACAAAAATGTCCTTATATTCTGAAAAGTTATTTTTGCCACTCCAATTAGGCCTCTGACCCATTAGCCCTTGACATCAGAGAATCTCTAATGCTCGTATCTGTTCCAAACTGCACTAGTCACTCACAGAAAAATCAAGCTGTTCAATTTCATCAACTTTTCTTTTCTCATTTTTGGGAAACAGTAGGGAAAAAAGACCAGATCTGGAATAACAAGACATATGTTTCTGAACATGTTAGAGCATATTTTAATATCTTCAAAAGTGGGACATCATTTGCCTAAGAAATTTTCTAAAAATGGAATAAAAAGCTTAGTGTTCAGGGAAGTTCTGCTTGATAAAAAATAAGGAGTTAAGACATTTTTTATATACATTGTTATTGTGTATTAAAGTATTTTTAAATGATTCACACACTAAGGAAATTTAAAAAGGAATCAGTGAAAATTATTAAAGTTTAATCAAGCTATTATTTCCTTTTCTTCATAATCTAGGATGAGACTAATTTTCTTATATTTGCAGTTGGAGCAAAGAAGAAAGTAAGAATTCATGTTACTTGGAGAAAGTTATTTGTGGAATACACAAAGAGGGAAACTTGAAGAAGAACTGGTTAGAATTTCTATGCATGCCACTAACTAAACTTGCCAGAATTTCTATGCATGCCACTAACTAAGTAAATTAACTTGTTTTTTTTTAAAGATTCTGTTTGTTTTGTTTTACTGAGTCTATAGCTCCCAGATTATTGCACTTAGTAATTATTGTTATTGTGGCCCACATACCATCCCTGCTGTTGCAGCTGGTGAATTTACCAATATCCCAGGCTATTTAGCAGTCTGTTTTTAATCTGTTGAAATGGAAAGAGCCTTACTCAACTAGTAACTAAGTTTTCATTTCATGTACTATTGGTCTTGGTCCTATTCTAACCTTGATTTTGAGTTCCCAAAATTGGGCTCCTGTTTTCTTTTCCTATACCTGAGCTATGACTTGCTGCCTTAAATAGATCACTTGTTTTTCTACTGTAGGACCCAGCTCTGCTTTTACCAAAATAATGAGTTAAGTAACATGAAAAAACAGATACACCTCTGTCCTAACCACTTCATACCTGTGAATGTGACCTTACTTGGAATTAGTGTCCCTGTAGATGTAATTAAGGATCCTGAGATGAGATCATCTCAGGATGATTTAGAGTGGGCCCTAATCTAATAACCGGTGTCCTTAAAAGAAAAGGGAGAGGGATGTTTGAAACACTCAGAGATAAAGGAAAAAAAGGTCATGTGAAGACAGAGACAAAATTGGAGGGATACATCTATATGCTAAGGCATGCCAAGAACTGCCAGCAGCCACCAGAAGCTAGGAGAGAGTCATAGAGCAGAGGAGCAGAACCTCCGGGAGGAACCAGCCCTGCTGGCACCTTGACTTTAGACGTCAGGCCTCCATGACTCTGAGAAAATAAATTTCTGTTGTTTTAAACCACCAAGTTTGTTGTAATGTGTTATGGCAGCCCTAGGAAACTAATATAACCAATCACCCGAGGACTGAAGTCCACCCATGAAATCTTCGCTGACTTGGTGCCCTATGGCAGGAACTACCTGGTATCAATCACAATGTACATGTACCCTTTTTTTATTTTCTGCTCATACACCTGGCTTGCCTCTCTCTACTATACCCGGCTACAAACCCATTCTGGGTCTTACTGGCATCAACAACTCATCTATCTGGGCATATCCACTGGGCATGATGTTCTGCCAGACAGCCCAGATTTATACTGAGCCTGAGGCCCAATGGCTCAGTACCACTGAAAGGATAGTTCTGCTTCAAGGAAAACAAATAAACAAACCAAAACCCCAACCTAAAATAAAGGTTAAAATAAAGAAATGAAGAATATAGGGGGCCGGGCGTGGTGGCTCACACCTGTAATCTCAGCATTTTGGGAGGCCGAGGCTGGTGGATCACAAGGTCAAGAGATCGAGACCAGCCTGGTCAACATGGTTAAACCCCGTCTCTACTAAAAATACAAAAAATTAGCTGGGCACAGTGGCACGTGCCTGTAATCCCAGCTACTCAGGAGGCTGAGGCAGGAGAACTGCCTGAACCCAGGAGGCGGAGGTTGCGGTGAGCTGAGATCGCACCATTGCACTCCAGCCTGGGTAACAAGAGTGAAACTCCGTCTCAAAAAAAATAAATAAATAAAAAAGAAATGAAGAATATAATTGACTAAAATAAAGAATATAATTGACTTACCTTGTGTCATTTGTCCATCCCCAGTCTGACCACTCATGGCCAGGAGGATGAAGCCAAATGAATCACTGCTTATTCAGCAGTATCTGTGAGAACAGACATTTTGGAAGTGTGTGGGAGGAAAAGGAATTATTAGCAGAGGAAATAAATAGCATCTCTAGTATATCCAACCTTGTAGGTGGAAGCTGAGTGACTCATCTTTTCAATGACCAAGTCATCATTAGGAAAATTATATCTGCATAGTCCTGAAATACGTCACATTTGTTTGGTGTGAAATGACAGCTGCCCATTCGTAATGTCTCCTGCTGTCATGAAGTTTACACTCTAGCAAGAATGACAGTCATTAAATATGTAATTACACATTTAATTTCAGAAGGGGAAGTTTAAGGTATGATGGAGGTATGTAACAACAGAGAGCTAACTTAGAGAGATCAAAATGTGACAAAGATGGGGCAGTGGGGGAGGGGAGGAAGAATATAATATGCTTGACAAACAAAAAGAAGACCAGCATTACCATAGTAGTTGGGCTAAATTAGCCTTACACAACAGTTACTCTAGACCTGTCCTAATAAAGTTCAAATAAACCGGAAAAGAATCAAATGGGACCACAAATAAACTAACCACCTAACAGAACAAAACAAAGTTGAAAAGGAAGGCAACAAAGTCCAGACACTCAACAAGGTAAAATTCACAATGTACAGCGTTCAATGAAAAAGTACAAATATGTTGGAAAGTATGACACATAACCAGGAGAAAAATCAGTCCATAGAAACAGGCTAGAAAATAATAAAGATAATGGAATTGGAAGATAAGGGTGTTAAAACAGCTATTAGAAATATGTTCAAGGATTAAAAAAACATGAACAGAGTGAGAAAGGAAATGGAGAATATTTTTAGATGAACCAAATGGAACATCTAGAGAAATAAAAAGTTTAGTGGATAAAAGAAGACTTGTTTGGCAGAACCACAGAGCACACAGGAAAAACTGGAATAGGATGTGGCTGGAGAGTTATGCAGACAACTTCCGGAAAAACTTGGAAGCCATGGTACAATTTGGAACTTTACCCTAAGGGATTGGGAAAGTCATGCATATGAAGCAAAAAAGGGACCATAATTGTGGTGAGCTGAAAATATAGCTCTTCCTAATTTAGCTTTTCACCAGACTAGACAGAAAAGAAAATGGAGCTCTTTCTGCTTCATATTAGTAAATCAATGAACTAGCTCTGTGTGAGAAACTGGAGCTCTTAAGTAGTTCACTGACACCTCACACTTACACAGCATCCTGAAGTAGGGAAGGAGGCACTCTCATAGCTCTCATCTAATGGTTATTGAGTGTCTGATATACGCCAAGCTTTCTTCTTGAACTCGAACAGAGTTTTGAACAAAAATGTCTGAGAACCTATCCTCATGGGAGTTTATCGTCATAACAGAGAAGAGGATGTTCACAGCCATTTTCTTGGTAAGAACTGGCTCAAAAAAGAACAGAAGTTTTAGTCTGGGATACAACAGATTTAGAGCATGTGAAGTGATGCAGCACCATTTACTTTGTTGAATATTTAGAAAACTGGTTGTACTTAGGTGAAATTTTAAACTTTTAAAATTGTGTTATCTTCTGAACTTGATAAGTCATGTCTAAGTCACCAGTTAAATAATTCAATTTTTTAAATGAACAAAAGATCAGATGAATTTTACTTTTATTCAAGCCAATTAAATTTAACCCAAACAAATGAAGTGTCACTCTCAATGGATTGTTCCTTTGCTTTAGGCTTTTAGCTAATGGTCTCTTTTGTTTGAAGGTATTGATTTTGATGATATTAAAGGACTGACATTATACTTTCAGTAACTCATGGTGAGGGTAGGGAATAGCAGTTAGATATCTATTTCACTTTTGATTTCTTGAATAAGATAAATTAACATTAGGTACAGGTTTATGAGATTTTGTTTTACAAGAAAAAAACTTGTTTGTGAATCTTTGGTTTTTAAAAACATCTTTGTTTAGAGTCTAATCTGGTTAATCTCAATAAAGAGTTCATGCAGTTATCAAAATTACTTAAGTTCTCTCTAAAGTGTTCAAGTTCGTGACAGAATCTTGGAAGGCTAAGACTTAACCAACTCTTAATTATTCAGGCTAATGGTGGCCTGCAGTGTGTGAAATGTGATGAGCCTCTGAGTCCAAGATCAATGTCATCAGGCTGGATGTTGAGAGCCCAATGTCGTGACTAAGAACATCCCTGGGATGAAGACAGGAGCTGAGGCTCCGTTAATCATCATGAGTGAATCCATTTCTTATTCCTTAGGCAGACACTGGGAACTGCTGTGTTGGTAAAGAAAGAATAATCTTTGAAATAAAGCTCATGGCTTAAGCCCCCTTTTCTTAGAAAACTCCAAAGTTCCTATATTTTTGCTACAGATTTACCTACCAGGGAACCTTAAAATATTTGAGAATTGAAACAGACCAGGAAGCAAGCTCATCAACTCAAGAGCTGATGACCTATGAACTATCAAGGCATAAACTAATATGAATGATTGCTCTGTTTAATGCTTATTTACTCCAATATTGCTGCCTAATCTGACTAGAGTATGGCAGGATAAATATCTAGAAATGCATAAAGCTCTAGAGCTTGATTAATAAATACGTAAATTAATTTATCATCTTAAATTTCAAACAATGGCTGCAATTTATTCCACAGAAAATTACTGAATCTCTCAATATGCCAGGCATCATGTTATGCACTAAAGTTCTAGGGTACTCTCTTCAGGGGCTTCACAGTTAATGAAGAGAAAACCAAGTACACTGAAAACTACAAAGCAACAGTGTGTCGTTGATAGAAGTAATTAAGGGCATTATGGGAGCACATGAATAATATCTGACTCAAAATAAAATGATACCTGAGCTGCAATTTGAAAGATAAGTAGTATGTAAAGTAAAGTATTCCTGGCAAAGGAAAAGCATATATAAAAGCACAGGGGCCTGTGAATTAATGATACATATATTGATGTATAAATGGTCCAGCTTCAGAGGATGAACGGCCCAAAGGAAAAGAAGTATGAGTTTAGGCTAGAGATGGAAAGACAAGACCTAAATGATATTCTATGTACAGAATGATGGTATTTTAAGCAGCTTTTAAAAATCCCATAGCCAAAGTCCCTGGTACCTTTTTAATTCAGAATGAGAGATGAAAATACTTGTGCAGAAAAGAGAAAGGCTGAGATAATACCTAATTCACCAAAAAGGTATATTGTTAAAAGCATAGGTGAAAGAATCCACATCCTGTCTTTGAAATGCTCCACATATTCCACCAAACAAACTAAGAGAGGGCAGGTGAACTGGTGATATTATCACGGAATTACCTAAAGCCTTAATAGTCAACGTTTTTCCACAAACCAAAAGCATATGTCATCTGGAAGCTTATTAGAAATGCAGAATCTCAAGCCACAATGCAGACCTGCCTCATCAGAATTTGCACTTTAACAAGATCCCAGGTAATCCTTGTGCACATCAAAATTGCTAAAGCACTAATCTACACAGAGCTCTTAATCCTGGATATACATTAGAAACACTTGGAAAGACTTCAAAACTACCCAGGCCAGGTATCCCCCTTTGAAGAGCACAGTTTACCATTAAATCAAATATATTACCATGTTTTTTCACTTGTATAACTAAGAAGAGAATATTTCCAGCCATCAGACAGAAAAAGAATAATAAATAGATGCTATTGCAGGGGCAAAATGAGGAGTCTGATTTTAATGTTAACGTATGCCTGTGGGACCTACAAAAAGCTATGGTAAATGAATGAGTGCACTGACATAAGGATGAGTGAATGAGATAGTTATGTGAAGTTTTTCAGTAATCAACTAGTTATATGAATCTGTGATCTGAGAGAAGTCTAGGACAAAGACATAAAACTATGTAGAAATGTTGGAGTCATCAAGTGCAGAGGTTAATCACTGAAAGAATTAGAATAGATAAAAATGTGAATAAAGTGAGAAAAGTAAAGGTCAGGAATAGACTCCCTCGTGCCACAAATTTAAGAGTATGCCAAGTTGAGCTCAATAATGAGATTACACTAGAGCATCCAGGTAAAAAGATAAGAAATCAAGAGATAAGATCACCACATATACCAAGGAAAAAGAAAGTTTCAAATGGACATATGAGTAGTGTCAACAACTGTAGCACCATCAGAAGTACAAGCCTTCAACAGTATCCTTTTGGCATGGCCACCTAAAAGTTCATGTATAACCTTGCCAAGAAGATCGATGGAACGACAGGCAGATGGTAATTCACTGAGGAGTTAATGGAAAATGAGGCAATAGAAATAGTTAATTTCAATTTCTCTTTCAAAAAGCTTGGCAGGAAAGAGGAAATTTAAAATATGGTAATAACTGGAAGAAAGCATAGAATTTAAAACCCTAAGCTGCACTTAGAAAGTCCACAAACTTGTCAGAAGTTTGAGTGCTGGATCCACTAATTGCAGTGTTTCTGTGTAAACAGATATTTCTCATAAGCATATGTATTTTTCCATTATAAACCTTTATGTTTTTAGTGTATTGTTGGGGAATAAAATTGCCTATTCAAGCATATTAGACATAGGTTCTGCACAGCTATAATAAAGTTCCACATAAGAGATTATTGCCATAATATGATCCCATGGTTTTGAGTTTCTTTTAAATTGGTTGGCCAATTAAGTATTTAGATGAACAGAAACATGACACTCAGATGGTACTTTATCACTCCACATAAATACTATGGTTTGGTCATAATGCTTTATGACTTACAGCTGTAGGACTTGGAAAACTATTATTTTGGTGCAAACTAGTTTATTACAGTGGGAAAGACAAAGAAAGTGAGAAGCAATAGGAAACTGAACATGAAATTAGGGATTCTAAATTTTTAGTTCTAATTAATGAGATAGATTTGCATATTTTGATTTTTGTTAATTAGATTTACATCAGTATCCTGATTTTAAATGGTGCAGGAATCTAATACAGTAGGGAGAAAAGGCATTATCATTAAACTTCCATGAACTTAGAAACTGAAGGGAAGGATGACAAGGCTCACAACACAAGTGACAATGTAAAAAACACTAAAAAGTCATTCCTTTCTTTTAAAATAGAACCAAACATACATGCCCTTTCAAATTCTCAAAATTGATTTAATGAGATAATGTACATCAATGCACTATAAACTTATTATCTGAATTTAATTTCCAGCATTATTGAGTCATGTTTTCAGCACCAAAATCAGCACCTAAAACCAAAAAAAAGTACTCTGGAAATTAAACAGAAAGGCTGTATCTCTGAAGCAGGCACTCTGTGATAATTTGTAATGGTGCCCATTGCAAAGGATCATAGATTTGTCATAATCATTTGCTAATTTTCCCTCAATAGTCTAGTATATACAGTTTGTATACATTTCAATGTACATAATCTCAAGGTAATTGCTTTGGTAAACTCTCTTCCTAGATTAGGTTGGTTGGAACAATCTTGCCTAAAAAGGACTTTTTACTTTCTGAATGGATCAGACCTCTACCTGCATACACAATCAGGACAATTTTTGGATAGTTGTTTTGAAATAATGGAGCTTCAATGAATTGTGTCCAGATCCAAGTTTAGACCTTGCCCTCCAATATTATACCAGCTTCTCCCTTTCTGGGATGGAGATATTCACACTTACCCACACACAGAAAAAAGGAGTTATTGAAATACTACTGTGTCACCCCTTTGTCTGAGAGCCAGAAGGCTGAGGCCACTTACATTGCATCAGCCTCCTGGAGCCCTGAACTAGTTCTAGAAGATTTGGCTTCTTGGGTGTAATAACTGCGAGCCATTACCAAAATTATCACACAGTCTTTCCTGCCTCAGGCCGTATCCTCACTGACCACCTTAAAAATGACACCTGAGTATAATTTAGAATCTAAAGGTGAACTAATTCTACCAGGTCTCACCTGTTATCAAAAATTCCTTCCCTCTATGCTCTGCTTCCTCTTCCTGTTTTACTATTCCTCTTCTTCCCAAACTTATCAAAATGTGCCACATAGAAACCTCAAGCCAAATAAATTCCACATGTGTGTATGTGCATGTGCGTGTGTGTGTGTGTGACTGAGAGAGGGAGGGTGTCTGTGTGTAACAGTGTCTAAGGACTTGAGCTTTAGAGTCAGAACTAGATTTAAATCCAGGTTTTTTTACTTACTAATGCTGTGATCTTGAGCTTGTTACTTAACTTCTCTGAATCTGTTTTCTCATCTGAAAAAGATAGTAGTGTTTACTTTTTGCTTTTTATCTTTGGGGGTGGTTAAATGATGCAGTACATATATATCATATAGCACTGTGCCAGCACATAAGTTATTTTTACTATTCCACCTCCTTTTTAGAAAAAACCTACACATTTCATAATGATCTCCTTGAAGTGATAGGATAGATAGGCCTTCTTCCATGCCTGCTTACCATAAAGGAGGGAGTACAGTGGTGGGTTAGGAGACCCTTCTCTGTCCTTTCATAAATCCCAGTACAAACTTCTTAGTACTTAGCACTTAGAGTGAAATAATTGGTTTGCCTACTGTCTTTTTAGTAAGCCATAAACATCATAAACAAGCTGGATCAACCAAAGTACCTAGAACAGTGTCAAGCATATAATAGAGACTCAGTAAGTACACTAAACTGGATTGAACTGAACTCACTTTAAAGGTGGGAGATTTTTGATGTGCTCAGGAAATAACGAATGCCCATTTTCGCTAAAATTTAAGAGTACTCGAAGGCTGTCAAGGTGACTAGGGTCAAATCAGTGGCCTCCTTGAAAATACTCTGACCACAAACATACAAATACTATTTGTCCATATTCAATGTCATGTTACTCAGACAACAAAAGTTTCTTAGAATTCCATCCTCTTCCTGATAAGACAACATTCTAGTAGATAGACTCACTCTCTGTGAGGTATAATTATTCTCAATGGTCCCTTTTCTATTGCTTAGATTTGGTCAAATTTCCTGTCTTTGTTAGAACTTCAGAGAGCAATTCTCCAGGCAGTTTCCTTTTCCCAAGGAAACTACAGGCTCAAGGCAGTGGGCACACAAGGTGACTTGGCTGGCCTCCGCTCCTCAGTGATGCCCTCTGTCAGTTTCTTACCGCAGCCCTGCTTCCCACTTACCTGTTGCAAACCTCCCTGTGTGCCAGGTGGCCTGCTCATCGCTGACCACTCTGAAATAAACTCTTGCTGCTATTCAGGTTTCGTAAAATTGAAGAAACACTTTGAGAGGCTGAGGTGGTGGATCACAAGGTCAGGAGATCGAGACCACCCTGGCCAACATGATGAAACCCTGTTCTTACTAAAACTGCAAAAAAAAATTAGCTGGGCATGGTGGCTCAAACCTGTTGTCCCATGTACTCGGGAGGCTGAGGCAGGAGAATTGCTTGAACCCAGGAGGCAGAGATTGCAGTGAGCCAAGATTGGGCCACTGCACTAGAGCCTGGGTGACAGTGCAAGACTCCATCTCAAAAAAAAAATTAAAGAAACATGTGCCTATGATAAGCAGCTAGATCTCCAACAAACACCTTGCTCCTGTGATAACCAGCGAAGTCTCCAACAAACACCTGCCATTTGGAAAACACTGGTTTCTCTACTAGGTCTCACCGCTCATCAAAAACGACAAACTTCTATGCCTTGCTTCCTTTTCCTCTCTTACTATTCCTCTTCTTCCAAAACTTTCTGGAACCTCATACCAAATAAATTCCATCTACATTAGTGTGTGTGTGTGTGTGTGTGTGTGTGTGTGTGTGTGTGTAAAAGTGTTAAGAGCTTGGACTTTCAAGTCAGATTGATCTAGGATTGAATACAAGCTATATTACTCACTAACTCTGTGACCTTGGGCAAGTTATTTAATTTCTCTGAGCCCCAATTTCCCCATTTAAAAAGACAGGTAATGACATTGACTTCTTGAGTTTTTGGTGATGATTAAATGACAAAAGCACATAGATCAGTTAGCTTCGTGCCCAGCATACAATGTCTTCAAAGTCACTTCATATATGCCATGTGAGTGTGTATCAGCAGCCTCAAAGACTCTCATTGCACTTCAATATTAGATGCTCTGGAGGCTAATACCTATTTCTGAAGTGCTACCCCAGACCTACCAAAATGATGTTGTGATTGAGCCATAGCTTATGTTTTAAATTGGACCATGTCTGACATCTACTTGTTTTTACAAGAGAAAGTGATAGACAGCCAAAAACTTATTTTCATTTGTATGGATTCTCATAAACTTCCTGGCTTTACTACTGCAGGAGTCCCTTTCAGACCAATTAATCATTGCTATAGCACCAAATTCTGTAACTGTATATCATGGTAGGGATTAAAACACAGACACGTTAGCCTAGGCTGAAATCCCAAATCTGCCTATAACAGTCTGTGCAATCCTGAACAAGTTAAGCAGCCTCTCTCTGCCTCAGTTTCTTTTAATGTAATGAGATCATAGTAATAGTGCCTACTTTGACCTCTCTCTGCCTCAGTTTCTGTGATTGTAACAATATCATAGTAATAGTGCCTCCTTTGCAGTATTTTTGTGAGACCAAAATAATAAGAATATGTCTGCATGTTCACTGAGTATAAATAATTAATACTACAAACGTTTGCTAATTGGTGATTATGTGCCACCACTCTATTTAATGCTAAATAGTCAAAGATGACATAGACCCTGACCACAAAGAGCTTGCAGTAAAAACACCTGATCCATATGAACACACACACATAATCACATATTTTAGGCTATAAAAATGCCTAACATATTGAAATCTGAGATTACCAATCTAATCCCTTTGGCTTGTAATTGTTGTTTGCTTCCTTAGTAATAAGTGTGGATTGACGTCTGAATGTACCACTCAGACCAGCCTTCCGTAGGATGGATTCCCAGAATATGGACTATAACCACCTCCCATTACTTATTACTGAGGTCCCTGTATCAAATCACATTCATTATTAATCAAATCACTGTCTGAAGTCCAAAAGTTATCGAAGCTCAATAACTTCAATCAATTCTTAATTTTATGAATGGAGACATGGTGAAGGACCCTCAATTTGAGTAAACAAATAATAAAATTATGTATGACTTCAACTGAATTGCTTCAACAATTTCTAGTTTATAGAATATGATAGAAATGACATTCTGACCTAGATACAATTTCTGGAAACTGAATAACAACAAGTTCATGGACAAAGTCAGTGTTCCATCATTTATGAGATGGGAGAGGATTCTCTTTACAAAGCACCTCTTACCCCTCTTAGCCTTTGCAGGTAGTAGTGCCTTGCACTGTCTCTCCATAATCCTGACTTCAGTTAGCTAGCCTTGAGGTTTAGGTTGTTCTGGGCTACAAAGACAGGATCTCTTGAAGATCAAGAGCAACTGCTGCCTCTTAAGTCATTGCCTAGGAAGTAGCTGGTCCTTGACAGGCCAACCAAACCCCAGGCCACAGGAACTAGTGGCTTAACTTACCTAGTTCTTCCTTTGCATCTATGCTGCCCTCTGCTCCTTCTAATCTCAGGATCCCTTGGCTGTTCTCTGGAGTTTTCCCTGCTTCAGCAAATTGACAGAGGTGGATTCTGCCCTCCCAGTCACAGTGGTGCTGTCTCCTGACTCGAAGGCTGCTTCTGTCACCCCCTGGTGCTTCTCTCTCCTATGATTCTATTCTTTGTTATCAAGAAGTGTTATCACAGTGGCCAGGCTTTGTACTCTGTCCCAGGACAGTAATGTCACCCTTGGGTTCCACTCTCTGCTGCTGAGTTGAAAGGACTGTATAAGTGAATTCACATCAAGTAGTCAAAGACTGCTCAAGGCTCAATGGAAAACACTTCCCCAGAAGCATTTCTGTCCTTTCTAGGACAAGCCATGGGTTAGTAAGGGTGATAATTATTTGGATATAACTATTAGTCTTTATGGATCACCACTTTATATAAAGTACTCATTAGATTTATTTTTTATTGTCAAATGACCCTAAAATTAGGAATTTTTACCCCCATTTTAAAGATGAGGAAAACGAGTTTCAAAGGATTTTTCTGGTTTTGTGTGTGTGTGTGTGTGTGTGTGTGTGTGTGTGTGTGTTTTAACAGCACAGTGTCACACAAAGACCACGTTCTTGCTGCCTCCCTGGACGAGGGAGCTTTCTTTTTGCTCCTCAATCACAACATCAGTGGCTTCCAACTTGCCCCATGGGTAAGGCTTGACCCTATAAGCAAATATAATGAGCTGAGCACAGATATATTTTCACTCCTAAATAGAAATTTCTGATCTACGAAACCAGCTTGCAAAGGAGTTAGCAGCCTGGGTCGTCCCAAAATTCATACAATTTGTAAAGGGAAAGAATAAAAGCCAATTACAGTGCTAAATATAAAATGACCCACGAAGCTGCACCAAGGAAGTTGTCTTCCTCTGCCGTCTAGGGTGACCGTCAAATTGGCAAGCAGGTCATTCCCCAACAATGGAATCTTTTCAAGTTAATTGACTTGACAAAATAGCAACAAATTAACCACTCAGTTGTACATGTGGTTTTTAAATTTTTTTTGTTCCAACAAATGACCGAGGATATGCATTCCTCTGCCATACTGATTTAAATTAAACAGGTAGCAGGAATTAAAGTCCCCAAACACAAGTGACATCAACTTTCTACAACTAATTTCAGTGCTAATGAAAACTGTTTGAGTATATTTGTCTGCTTTATGCCATGCCATATTCTGGCAAATGATGCCTTTTTGTTTTGGAATAATGAATATAAAGTTCTCTGCTAAGAAAACATATTCCATCTCTGTGGACGTGTTCCAGGTAGCGTCTCCAAAGTAAACTATTCGCAAATAATTGTTTAAGGTACTTCATACTTAGTTGTGTACTGAGGTTAAATTTAAAATAAGTGACTTGGGAAGCTAAATTGAAAATCTCTTTAATTCTAAAAAATGAGTTAATACTTTATCTTTCTCCCAAACAGGTTTTTGTAACATGCTTATGATACATGATCAGGACACATTTATAAACAGACATCCATAAAATATCAATGCGGATATTGTGCTTTAGTTTGGTGTTAGCATTATGTACGTCTGCTTTTTAAAATTCAGGGGAGGAGAAGAATTCATGGACATCTGATCTACATTAGTCATGCTGTACATAATACCACATTTTAAGTGTGGTATCACATATAAAGACATACATCTTTCAGGAGATCTTCCCAGCTTAATTCTTTCCAGCTCTGACAATAATGTAATTTATTA